CTAAACCGTAAACCCTAAACACCAAACCCCCCCACCCCCCATCCCCAGCCTTGCCACGGGGCGCGCTTCCCAGCGACGGCTGCGGCCACCAAAGCCGAGCCTCCGCAGATACAAGGCTTCTAACCCCCCCAAAAAAAAGAAGTGCGGTTTAGGGTTTAGGGGTTAGGGCCTAGGGTTTAGGGTTTAGGGTTTAGGGTTGGGGCCTTAATAATTAGAATAGGGTTCCTTTAAAGGGTTACTATAAGGGTTGTTAGAGGGCTTCTGTAAGGGTTTAGTGCAGGGGTCTGGATAATTAGAGAGGGATTTGGGGTAGATTATAGTATAATTCTAATAAGGAACCCCCCCAAATTAGTATGTAGGTAATAATTATTACCTGTAGCCCAAAGAACCTACCATTTCAGGTTTTTGTCTTAATATATTTTCTTGACAAAATGTCGGTTTGGGTTTAGGTTTGTGTGTCTAGAAAGGTTTAGGCTCTAAGCCACCTACCTGTAGCCCACAAAGCCAAGCTGTTTATGGAAACCGTAATGAGGAATACAGAAAGGCAGGGTTTTTTGTGCTCCAGGCATTTCGACCGGACATAACCTACCTCTTGAAGGACTTGAAACAGGAAACCATACTCAGGCGGTTCTGGTAAGGGTTAAGTAGCGGGGGTTAGGGTTGAGGCATTCGGCTTTGTTAGGATGTTTAGGCGGTTTATGGTTTAGGTATGTTTAGGGTCTAGGATGTATTGGGGTGTTTAGGGGTTTTCAAAATCTTATGAACCCTAAACCTTAAACCCTAATGTAGGAGCCGGATTAAGAAATCCACCCCAAAACACCAGGATCCATGTAAAGAGCCCGAATAAAGACCCAAAGTTACGAATCAGGTTCCTATATTACCGGGAAGCCCCTGGTGAAAATAAAGTGATTTCAGACTGCTCCCAGGAGCACAGCTAACAAGGGCTGCAATGGAGGGTAGTTAGGGGGGGGGGGGCTCTCGGTAAACTTCTTCTGGAGCCGAAACCCTTTAACGAACTGCAATGCTACGACTTTGCATGATGACGAGTATGAGGGATAGATGCTTGCTCAGATGCTGACGATGCTCAGGTATGTGACGGGCATGCAGAGCAAGCAGCTGTGTACGGAGAGCATACCGACCTTTGTTTTACCAAGCGTACGATGATGACAGTGGCGACCACGACAACGATAAAGATGATAGCGAGACTGAGTAGTATGATGACAACCGACTAGAGAGTCCCCTAAGGCCCTAAGGGTCCATGTACCCAAATAGTATGTACTTTGGCATTGAAGTAGTCCCTATATAGGTAGTTTGGGGCCAAAGTATATACCATTTGGGCACATGGAGCCTTAGGGGAAATGCCTACCGACGGACATGAGAAGTGTGATTGCCTGAGACGAGCAGTATCAGCTACGCTGTCGCCGGCCTTACTGAAGCAGCTTTGGCCTGATAATGGAAACTTCAATGCCCCTAAAAGTCCATGTACCCAAATAGCCTATACTTTGGCCCCAAAGTACCTACATAGAGACTACTTTCAGGCCAAAGTACATACTATCTGGGCACATGCCCAGAGAATCCAACACCCCTGAATTAAGGAATATACCTTAAATCATAATTTTAAGGTAATTTCAGGTATATTTAGGTGTAGTGGGTTCTCTGGGTTGACCCTTAGGCAAACCCTAAACCCTAAACCCTAAACCCTAAACCCTAAACCCTAAACCGTGTGCTGACAGGGCGTCTCACGTAGCGACTCCCGAATCTTGGGGGTTTTCTGAACCCAGAGACTCCAAAACCCCTTAGTATTAAGGAACCCTAAACCCTAAACCCTAAACCCTATACCTTAAATCATACTATGGGTCCTATTTTAATTTAAGGTCGATTCCTTAGCTAAGGGCTTTGGGGGTTCTCGGAACTTGATCCTTCTGATGAAAGTAACGGTTTGAAGTTTAGGGTTTGGGGTTTAGAGTTTAAGGTTTAGGGTTTAGGGTTTAGGGTTTGGGGTTTAGGGCTTGGGGTTTAGAGTTTAAGGTCCTTAAAGGTTTACCTGGACCCCAAATAACCACTTTTTTACAGTTCCTTATTACAGTTTGTTTGTATAAGTCCTTAAGAAGGTAGGTTGTCTTTGGTGTTAAGGCAGCGGTTTAGGGAAACCTCCTATCGACAGCTACCATCTGCATTTGCTTGCCAAAGCGACTGCCCGTCTTCGCCCTTGCCCCAGCATTTGGCACCGCCGTCCTCGAACAGGGGTTTCGAAGGCTAATACATACGTGGCAAGCCGCAGACAGTAATTATGCTATCAAATAAGCAGGTCAATACACCCCTACACCCTAAACCCCAAAACCCCAAGCTCAAAACCCCATGTAAACCCTAAATCCTAAAATCCACTCGGTTAAGGTTTTGAAACCCAAGATGCTCAGCCTTACTGTGAGGCTCACGGTACCTAACAAGTAGAGCAAAAGTACGGCTATGGTTACTTATGATAACCTTGCTTGGATTTCGGGTTCAGGGTTTAGGGTACTACCTCTCATGAGCAAAGAGCTGAAACCTGGAAACGAAACACCTTAGACTTGAAATTCTCCCAATGCTCTAGACGGGCAACAAGTCCGCTAAGCCCTAAGCTCGCAGCACCACTCTCCGAAGCCGTATAAGCCCAAACCCAAAAATTCGAAACCCCCGTTTCCAACTTGAAACTGTCTCGCAGCCTGTAGTGAAGGACTCCCGCTGTCGGTGTGTCGTATGGTGCGTTCTGGGAGTGCGGTAAGTGGTTCAAACCTTTGGATTCAGGGTTTTGGGTTTAGAGCCGTACACACACGTAAACCCTGCCTTCAACCCCAAAGACCTAGCTTTTCAAGCCTGACACAGCTCTGATAAAACCGATGAACCACCTCTATCAAATAAGCACTGAATTTTAAACTTAACCCTAAACCCTAAACCCAACCGTGACATCAACCCCAATGTAACCCACCCGAAAGCCACCCTAAACCCTAAACCCTAAACCCCTAAACCCTAAACCCTAAACCCTAAACCGACCTCCTCTACAGCGCAGGAATGAAGGCCGCCAGCTGTCACAGCCACCGCTGGCGCCAAGCTCTGCACTCGCACTGGGATCTCCTGGGCGATAAAAGTTTAGGGTTTAGGGTTTAGGGTTTTAGGGTTTTAAGGGTTTAGGTGTTAGGGTTTAGGGTTTAGGGCTTTAGGGCTTTAGGGCTTTAGGGTTTAGGGTTTAGGGTTTACAGTAGGGTTTAGGGTTTTAAGGTTTCAGGGGTTAGCCGGGGTACTTCCTGGCTAATTAAAATAGGGGCTTGGGGGGACATGCATTCGAATCTATCTTTATACATATATATATATATATATATATGTATACACACACACACACACATATAGAGAGAGAGAGGTATATTATGTATGTATATATATATATATATATATAGATATAGATATTATGAGGAACCTTACAGAGTAGGTGGGAATAGTATCACTACGTCTTAAGACATCTTATGTGTTCGCGTTTTGTTCTGCGTGCATGGCTTTAGGTAGTTATATGAATTTAGGATGTAGGGTTTCGGGTTCCGGGCTTGGGGTTCATAGTTGATCTTGTGCTTTGTGAGGGCTTAGGGTTTAGGGTTGAGGGCTTTTGGGTTCAGGGGTTAGCGGGTTCTTGGATTGCCGTTTCAGGCCCCGAAGAAGAACGAGAGTCGTTTGGGTTTAAGCGTTTAGGATTGTATGGAGAACCTCTTTGTTATGTGTATATATATATATATAATTATGATATAGGGTTTCAAAAACAGTGTATATAAGAGGGCTCGGCGGCTACATTATAGTGAAAGTATTATATGATAAGAATCCCTATGGCAATAGTCTTAAGGAGTAATAGCATTCAGGCGCCCCTACATTGCCATTCCGTGTCCTAGCAGCTAAAGTCCTGCATTGCGTGGTGTCTTGTTGGGTGGGTCGAAGCCTCAGACAAACCGTATTTGCACGAAACACTGCACGCTGCAGCTGCGCATAAACGCAACACAAGCACACAGGAACATTGGAAAGACATGCATTCCAGCAGAGAGACAGAGAGAACACGAGAGAGAGATAGAGAGAGAGAGAGAGAGCGGGAGAGAGAGCGAGAGAACGAACACAAAGAGCGAGAGAGAGAGAGAGAGAGAGAGAGAGATGGAGAGAACAAGCGGGACACGCCAACATCCTAGACCACGGGCTTTACAGTGGAACGCGGCCAAGACCTAGCAAAACCAACAGATATAGGGCTTAAGCCTACACCAAGCCCCTAAACCCTAAACCCTAAACCCTAAAGCCCCAAAACCCAATCCAAGAGGCACTGGACCTGGCGAGGTTGTCCCCGAGCTGGCCATAATCTCCGGAGCCCCAGCAATACACCCGGCCTGAGGCCTCTGGGGGAAGCTTCAAGGCCCTCCACAACATAGGGTTTAGGGTTTAGGGTTTACGGCTTAGGGTTTAGGGGTTTAGAGTTTAGGGTTTAGGGTTTAGGGTCTAGGGTTTAGGGTTTAGGGTTTTACTGTTTAGGGTTTAGGGTTAAGGGTTTAGGGTAGGGTTTAGGACTTCAAGGCCTAGCGAGGCAGCATTCACTCTGCATAGGACACGAAGCCCAAAGCCCTACCTGGATCCCCGATCTCTAATCCC